AAAAAAGAGAAGAGAATATTCGGACAGGTGTTAGCTTGAGTATCACACGTCTAGCGAAAGTGAATTCAGCTAGTGTGGGATCAGTCATTTCAGGAGAAAGAGCATGTTAAAAGAGACTGAAACAAATCAGTTGAAATCGCCACCAATGCTCCTTCTCGGACGTTGAGGCACAAGCTAGAGCGTCCCATCATTACGTCTGATTGCATCGGTGGCACAGAGCCTTCAGAACTGCCGATCAAGTTCATTACTTCCTACACAGCGAAGAGGTCGTATTTGGCTAGTTATCGTCGAGATCCATTTGCCAGTCAGTATCATATAGACCCTTAATGGGTTAGCCCTGCACATTAGTCAAGCGTGCCAGGCTCGTGACAGTGAGCTGTTGGAAATAACGACCGCCTGGGCGAGTTCTCTCGGAAACATAACTGCCAGTCAAAAGGCACTCCTGGTTTTTAATGCATCCGTCGGAGGAGCCGGTCATGAGCAGTTTGTTCCAATGTTTGGATCCCATGAGTCACAAATACAGTGAGTGACCGACCTCCTGAAATGTTGGCTGGAATTCTGCAATGCGTTTTCGATTAGCAAGGATTACTTAGGCGCGGTTGTAATACGGATTATTTTGCGGTATAATCCTATGGTATTTCGGAGTTGGCAGGGTGTCAGTTTTTGAGTACACTGAATTTCAATCTCCTGTAGAAACCATACTCGGCAAAATGGCTACTTAAGTAGCATGCATTTTAACTATTGATTTTCGATGGTATTGTAAATTCAAATATATTTTGGAGAAACCACGTACAAAATTATGCTTTCTTTTAGTCGTTTGATAAACAATCACGTCATCTTTATATTTTATACTCGAGGAAGGAGTATAATTAAACTTTGAAAAAGTTTTCTAATTGCCGAATAATGTGGAGCCTGATCAGTCGTTGCATTAGCGCTTAGTGGTTCTAATCTACAAGGTGCATGCATTACGCGTAAAGAAGATCACATATTCTTCTAGGTCTTTAAAAAGATATCATATAGAGTTCATAAAATTTTGCAATGGATGCAGACTATGTTGTACACTTCATGAGAAGCAGTGATAAACGGACAGGTTAGATGCTATGTGAATGGGCATTACGCGGCCTTAAGAAATCTCATAATTAGAAACTTTCTTAAAACCTAATTATACTCCTTCCTCGGGTATAAAATATAAAGATGACGTGATTATCTATCAAACGGCTAAAAGAAAACATAATTTCGTTCGTAGTTTCTCCAAAATATATTTGAATTTGCAAGACCATCGAAAATCAATAGTAAAAATGCATGCTTCTTAAGTAGTCATGTGTTATCGGGTACGGTTTCTACAGGAGAGTGAAAAGCAATGTATCCAAAAGATGATATTCTGCTGAGTCTGAAATATTATAGGATTATACCGCAAGATAATCAGTATTACAACCGCGCCTAAATAATCCTTTCTGATCGAAAACGCATTTCAGAATTTCAGCCAACATTTCACGAGATCGGTCACTCACTGTACAACGTAAGATTACGATTAATTGGCAAAATCTCCGTGATGGTATGCGGACCCTTCAGTCGTAACGGTGACACAGTGATAGACCATCCACTTTGGGTTACGAGGACCGAAAATGATATCACTTTAGTTGATGGCATTTGGAAATGCTGCGCTAGTGACTGGTCTGGCCGGCCTTTACGATATCACCAATAAAGATTTTTCAGGAAGGAAGATTCGAGACAACGGATCTGGAGATGGTCGTGCAGCATCGAAGACCGAATAACGGAAGTTACTAAACTACCCGGAGATTCTGATGGATAGTGCCAAGTCAACTTACCAACCTCCCTGTCCAGCACTTTTTAGAAAAAAACGTGCGTTCAATAAAGATGAATTTAAATCTGCAGGAGAACTATTCGAACACACAATCCGACCTAAAATCTGCCTGTTACTGGACTAACTCTTTGCGGAAGCTACTTAGGACTTCGGGTGAACTCGAAATATGGTGGGCAGCTGATACCAATGACGTCTCCAGGTATCATGTCAAATTATCGCCTCAACCAAATTCTATCTGATTGACTGTTGTTCTGTTTCTAGTTTTAGCTCCGATATGTCGATTATAAACCCAATTCTAGGGTGACAGCTTGTCCACCGTGAGAGCAGGGACGGTGATTTGCGCGTGAATTAGTTTATAATGACAGTAGACTTGTGAAGCACATCTACCCTGCTCCCTCCACATCCCACACCTGAACCCGGTGTCAGGATGGAGTCAAGAAGACTAGAGGCAACAGAAAGCGCAGATGGCTGGCATGGCGAAAACATGCACCTAGGCGCACCAACACACTCTTTAGCCCACAAAATACACGGACCAGTTGGCGCGATGTCGGCCTGTAACTGGACGTGCCACCACCACACCCAAAACGTAAGCATTTGCTATGGGTGCGCACTCCCAGTGTGTGTGTATTAAGCTTAAATTTGAACGACAAGTGCCTACTGGGTAAATGATTATGAACAGGCGTGGGGCCGGTCTGATTACAACAGGTACCGCTCTTAGAACGAGAAAACCTCAAACCGCATGAATGGTGGGACATTTTTAATACACCACCCCGCAGGAAGGTAGGGCGGTTGTCGGCAGAGTAACCGCTACGAGGCCAATCTAACTTCTCATATCTCTTTGAGAAAGGCACGAGTACCAATATCACAGACTGTCGAGTCAAATGTGACACAGTGGGCAGACAGTACTTGTCCCGCTGACTTTTCTGGCCACCCAACCTCGGAGCACTTCGATGCAGCTTTTGTAGGTTCACCTTTGCACCAATGATACTGTGTTAGCCCGAACCTTCTACCCCTCCAGGCCAGATCGGTGATCCCGATGCAGGCGGCGATGTGTCTTCTGCAAAAAGACATTTTATAAAACTGCAAGGGACTTTGCAGTTGCAAAAGATCACCATTCTCATGGTAGCAGCCACTAGCCGGAACCAAAGCGTTCGGGAAGGTCAATAGGGCCCCAGCCACTGTGAAGAAGGACATTGCAAAAGATAGCAGTCTCGAAACTCGCCTCACAAACGGTATGACGCAGTAGAACATGGTCGGCTTGAGTTTCATGGAAAGCATGGGGGTTTCATCCTGCACATGAGCCGGCAGATTTGCGATGTTGAACCAGGTTATTGCCTAGACAGAAAAGTGAACTAGCGTAAGTGGCAAGCGACAGGGAGCTTTACTAGTGCAGAGAAGGCAGACGGGGAATTCTGAAATTCCATCATAAGCACTGATGGCTGGCGCGTGAGAAGCGACGAGGACAGCCCGGGATGGCGTAGAGGGGGCGTGAATCCACTTGTAATAGAACAAATTTGTGTCCTTTATACCTCGACCTCTTGTCCAACACACAGCGTGGTTAAAAGGCAGGACAAATGCAAGACAACTGGTGGTGGGGACAGTCGTCATCGCTGATGAAGCTCAACAGTCCGTTTACGAACGACCTGGCCCCTAACTACGCACCGGCCATACTCCAAAGTGAGAGGGGGTCTCAGATCTGACATAAGTGACAGTCCCATAAGAACCAAATCAGGTAGCAGCCATTGATATAAGATTCTCAGTCTGGGAGGGGGACAGAGCTAGTCCGTCAATCCTCCCAGGCGCGACTAGTGGCACGACGTGATAGTTTAAGCGAGCGTTTGACCGTTTATAGCGGGCAGATTAAGTGTGCGATCCGATCGCGGTGGGAACTCACCCTCTCTCTCTCTCTCTCGTGTACCGGTAATCTGTCCGAGTCAAACCGACTGGGTCTAATATCGGGCGCGAATTGGCTGACTTAATACAAAGCCGACATCCGACACGACCCACCCCCCACAGACTCAGAGAGCAGCAAGGCAAGATCTACCATGAAGCCTTCACCAAGATAGAGCCTCCACCGTTCCAAGGATAACAGTTTATAGTGTCAGTAGACTTACGACTAGACAATCGGAAGTTGTCCTTCAGCCAGCGTGTTGTTCGACCGTGGAACTCACTCCCAAGTGAAATAGTGACATCTTATACAATGGCTGTATTCAAAAGGCAGCTGGATCGTTTGATCTTTGATAAACGACGACTCTCACAACAGGACTATCTGCGGCCAGCCATAAATTTCATTTCTTGATTTCATCCCAACTTAACACATCCCTGACTTTTGATGAAATTTTCCCTCCCAAACTATGCAAAAGACTGCACTTTATGCTGATTGTATATAACTGCACTTAAAATTTCATATGTACACTGAAAAGACCGCCTGCCGTACCCTTCGCAGTCCCGCACTGTGAAAACGTTTTCGGTGAACAATTATGTTACTGACAAAATTTTAGTAAGATTTACATGTAACATTTATATTTTCTCTACCGTTTTCAATAGGGTCATCAAGGGCATTGCCCATTACCCTAAAATACACTATACACTATATGTTCAAGGAAGGGCCGCTGTTGCCCGTTAACTGGCAGCCTACAAAGTCACTTTTAACGCGTATCGGTAGCTTCAAGTAGGTCACAGTTCTTATAGTAAGCAATGCGCTGGCTTCCCATAGGGAAGAACAGATTGGTACTGGCATCAGACCCTCTTTCCTCTACCATGCAGCAGTAGCCTATCCAAGTCTGTCGGCCGATTGGTAATGAGGCTAGTGGCAGTAGTCGGATCTTGTTTGGTAGCCGCACCTGCAGTGGACAAGCGCCAGCCGCCTGTCATACGTGACCGGCGGTAATAGGGGGGTTTAACAATAACCCCTAAATCTAACCCCCAACCCTAACCCCTAGCAATAACCCTAACTCTAACGTCTAACAGGTGCGGCTACGAAATAGGATCTTACCGCCAGCTAGTAATTTGTTCTTTCCTGCACCCTGTTACGGGTGTCAGCGCGGCCCTTTACCCACGCCGCTCCCGGTCGGCCTAGCACCCTTGTTAAGAGTGACTCAACCTTTGCCTCACCGACACCGATCTGGTACGCGAAGCAGCCCTAGAGAGCAAATTTCGTAAGCTGCCTGCTCCAATGTCATCCAAGAACGACAAACTGATGCACAACTTGTCGTCAAAGGAGCTAACGGAGGAACAAATGCAGGTTTTGCGGCATGAAGCCTCATTCAACGCAGCCGATGCCAAACCTGCCAACATGATCGCAGCAGTGGAATCAATCCTCAGCCAGACGGGAGCGACAGACAAAACGAAGAACCTCATTCGACACCAAGTGTCCTCCCTCCTCATGGCTCATAGGCCGCGCGACGTGCTTTCCAAGGTCGAGCGCGATGCACTTAAGGAATTCAAGGTAGACAACGACCTCGTTATCGTGCCTGCGGACAAGGGGCGTTCAACGGTCGTATTGGACAGGACAGACTACAATCAAAAAGCCAAAAGCTTGTTGGAGGATCATCAGTCCCATGTCCCATGCGAATCAAACCCCATAAAAACGCTGACACGCGAGATTAACACGACGCTGTTGGCAATGGAGAACTCCGGCGCAAAATCGCCAATCGACCGACGCATGGCGAGAGCAAAAGAAACGGCCCTAGCCCGATTCTACGGTCTCCCAAAAGTGCACAAAGAGGGCGCTCCTCTCCGGCCTATCGTATCACTAAAGGGCACTCTAACCTACGGACTGGCAAAGTGGCTGTTCCAACGTCTCCAGTTTCTGACCTCCGATTCGAACACCACAGTCAGCTCGTCAACGCAATTCTTGGAGAAACTTAAAGGAGTAAGTCTCCTGCCAAGCGGTGTCATGGTTTCCTTCTATGTCACGTACCTTTTTACTTCTATCTCACAGGACCTGGCAGTCGAGACCATCGAACTACTTCTGCGAGAGAAATACGACGAAACGGAGAATCGCCTCGGACACGCCCAAATCATCCAGCTCCTGAATTTCTGTCTCAAGACGTACTTTACGTTCGAGGGAACAATCTACGAGCAGGTGAAGGGAACGCAAATAGGTTCGCCGATTTCCGGACTCGTAGCCGGGGCGGTCCTACAACAGCTGGAGTCGCTGGTTTTCCGACACCACAGACCGAAATTCTGGGCTCGGAATGCGGATGACACCTTCGTCGTCATCGAACGGGATCAGGTGCTGACATTCAAAGAACATCTCAACGCCGTCTTCCCGGACATTCAATTCACGATGGAGAAGGAGGAGGAGGAGGAGGAGGAGGAAAACAACCAGCTGGCCCTCCTGGATGTCCTCGTCTGCCGCAAAGATTGTGGTGGCCTAAAAACCAAAGTGTTCAGGAAAGCGACAAATACGACGCAAATAATGAACTTCAATAGCAACCACCCGAGCAGCCACAAACGCAGTTGCGTAAGGGCGCTATACCGGAGCGTTGAGACGCACTGCAGTGAAATGGAAGGCAATATCTTCGACGGGTAATGAGAACTAATGGTTACCCGCGCAACTTTGTCAACCAGTGCATACGAAAAGGACACCAGAGACCAAATCCAACCGGCCCCAAATTTTGGCGGGCTCTTCCGTACGTGAAGAAAGTCTCGGAAGCCGTCAGTCGTCTTCTCACTCCACTTGGAGTTGGGGTTGCACACAGGCCGGAAGTAACCATTAGGCGCCAAGTCATGAGGCCAAAAGACCCGCTGCCACGGCAGGAAACGTCTGGAATCGTTTACCGGCTCTGGTGTAGTTGCGGACAAAGCAATTATGCGGAGAAACTGGGAGATGACTCCGTACGCGAATTGCCGAGAACGCAGCAGCAGTGAGGCGGGGAGACGCTAACTCTCAGGTGGCGGCACACACGACGGGACCCGGCCATATTTTCAAATTTCAAGAGGCCGAAATCCTCGCAAGGGGTGACAACCGCGTGAGCCGCGAGCTGCTCGAGTCATGGTTCTCAGGCCCGCAATCCCTCAACACGCACAATGATCTCCCGGTGCCCTATTCCGTACTGCGATTTTCCCTGGGCAGGAGAATCAGGCACGTGGGGAGGGCACGGGCGAGCAATCATCACGGTGACAGTGAGCCAACTTGCCGAGCAATCGTCACACCAGCATCCAGCACGGATGACGAAATCACGGCGATTAACGACTCGGACTCGGGCTGACAAGCCACCACCGCATCAATTACTACCCCAGCGGTGATTGCGAGAGCTGTTAATTACAGCGCGCATATGGTCACACGGCAGCCACGTGCTATAAATACTGCACGCCTTGTGCCACTATCACCTTTATCCGCGAATGTTTTTGATGATGGATTCGAGTGAGAATCCGAAACGTCGGGCCGATAAATTTCTCGTTCCAGTGATTGCATATTCCTCTTCTGAACTACTACCTGGAACCCACCTGTTCGCTTCTATCAGCATGACCAGAATTGTCATTAACTCAAAAGTTTGGTAATTAAAAGAGCAGAGAGTCACACACTTAAAGCACCGAAATTCACGAAAACTTGACTGAAATTTTGAAGTGCGCTGTCTAACCACCTCGGGAACTTACAGTCGGAAAGGGACTCCTTCTTCAGTAGTATGTACCTGTTCCGTTACTTTTCGATGCTTGCATGCATTCAACCGTGCCTCTTAGAAAGGGATCACAACAGTTTCACGATATGCATGAGTGGCTAGTGAGGGATGCTGCCAAAACATTGTTGAATACTCATCGATGCGCGAAAGCAAAACGGAAATACCCATTTTGATACTTCAACCTGGATTCAGCATTAAATGTTATACTGCCTTAGGCATTAAATACATCACCCTTCCAGTAAGCAATGACGCAAAACATAGTTTCCTAGAAAATGAGCATATGTGATTCACATATTTACGCGCAATTACCATAAAGTTACGTTTAATTATAGGATTATCAGAAAGCAACTGGAAGGATACTAGTGTAGGGATTACCAAATGATCAAGCTTCAGCCATACCAGTAGCGCAACCTCACTAAATTCACGCTGTCTGCTTGAAGATATATCTAAACAGTGAACTTAATGCTTCACATATTTTCGCAAGCAACGAAAACTACTGTAGTTGGCAGAACCAGATGGGATTATGAACGAAATATGATATAATAGTGGGTCAGATATGGGCATGTAGCCGCACCTGAGGTGAACAAACTCCAGCCCGCTGTAATACGGGACCGGTGGTAATGGGGGTTTTACAGGTGGGGCCGGAGAACGAACAGGCGACGTGGCCAAGTAATTGTATGCAGAAGAAAAGCTATTAAGAATGCGCGATTGTACTTTGAGTGGCTGAGAAATAGTTGCCCTAACCTCCTAGCCCTCCAACCCTAACCCTTTAACCCCAACCCAACCCCCTAAACCTAACCACTTCCTCTAACCCCCAGTAGTATTGTGTCCATCAGGTGCGGCTACATAACCATATCTTACCTAATAATGTTCTGCGAAAATTGCCATGTCAGGATTGAAAAGTCAATTAGTAAACGTATGTTTTCGGTAATTCATCATCATACCACTACAATTACA